GGAGTGAATTTGATGTCTGAACATTAAGGGGAAGATGAAGAAGAACATGGAACTTGGAGTAGTACAAAACTGGGTCCTTTATAAAACGAGCTACAATTTGTGAGAAACTGATCGCTCATTTGATCACAAACTAAATTTATGCTGGATCCCTTCTCATGGGGATTAACCTTAGCAGATATGATGGAGGGGTTTACAGTTAAATGTTCTTGAGTTATGTATCAGACCAATTATTTATTTATAAATCATATAAATTGTATTGAGAAGAACAAGCTGACAAAAAGAGCAGTGAGCTAGGAGATACACAAGGCCATTCATTTCTTGCTTTAGAAATGTATCCAGTATTGTCTTCGAGGAAACTCTAGCAACCAGGGTTCCAGCACTGGTACCAGCAGAAGTAATAATGTCTTCAAGGAACTCTTATTGTGATATATTTAAATCATCATGTTCAAATGATCTAACTTGTTATTTATATATTATTGAGCACACTATTTCAGTGGGATGTAATGGGATATTTTTGCATGTGCAATGGTTCATACCACAAAACTGTCATGCTCATAGATTTTGGTTCATCATTCAGGTGACCTCTGCTTAAACAGTTGTGACACTGGAAGGAACGTATGAACTAATAATTTTATTACTTGGTGGGATTATTTCAAAACAAGATCTGACAAATGTGTCTAATATTCTGCATATAAATATTTTCCAGGTATTCAATTTGGTTGGATAGCAAATTACGTCTTCAAGTTGATCCTCTTCTGGTTCTTGAGTACTTTTTGTGGAGAAAAGGTTATGAATTTGCCATTTCTAAACACTATGATCGTCGTTGTGTATGGGAAGAGGTTGCTCAAAATAAGAGACTGAACAAGTATAATCACACTGTCATAGACCAGCAATTTGCTTCTTACCAGACTGATGGGCTGAAAAGATTCAATGTCTCTGATCCAAACAAGCTCCTTCCCAGCAGTAATATTCTCTCACAGTTTTCAGGTTATGCAATTCTCTGCTGCACTTTCGCTGTTTTTAGTTTGACAAGATGTTTTGTACTGGTTACAGATGTGCCTGAAGGGTCTTTAATTGTGAGAGCGCACACTCCAATGTCAAACCTATTTTCCTGTCTCTGGTTCAATGAGGTTGATCGCTTTACTCCTCGTGATCAGCTGAGTTTTGCTTTTACATACCAGAAATTGAGAAGGATGAACCCTGGCAAACCATTTTATCTTAATATGTTCAAGGTGAATAAGCTTACCTTTTTTTCAGATTTATCTCTACTAAAGTGAATGAAGTCCTTAATAGCAACAAATGTTCCGAATTAAAACTAGTTGTCATAAGTTAATTTTCTCCCCTTCCCCAACTATTAACAGTTCTAAAGAAATCTAGAAGCAACAGTTTTTATCATGATTTCTTCTATGTTGCAGGATTGTGAGAGAAGGGCCATAGCGAAGTTATTTCGTCACAAGTCGGAGGAGAAGCGAAGTACTCCTCGCCAAGAAGCAGTAGAATGAAACACATTCAAGTTATCTTTTCATCGGATGACTGTGTCTGTACATTATTTTTTGCTACACCCAGTCCACCAAGTTTGAGAGCCTGACAGTGGTATGCGTCCTCCTAATGCCCCAATATTACAGTAAAAGTGATGGTTGTGGACCCTTTTGTTCTGGATCTGCAATTAAGATGTGAGGAAAGTCCATAGCAGAAGTAAAGTTTTATTGGCGGAATTTGTTGGGATGAGGTAATATCGCTGCTGTCTCTCTCTGACATGAATTAAATACCTGTGGTAAAGAAATTTGTGATCCACTATGTCTTATTGTACCGATTCAATTCACCATTTATTGCTTCATCTCTAGGCAAGTAATGTCACAGTGCCTTATGCACTATTGCTTCCACTAGAACTGCACCTTATCTTCTATTGTTTTTGAAAAACTATTTGATTTTCCCTACATTATTGGGTATCAAAATTGGCTGTTGTTTGTAACAATTTTTTATGTATAACGAGGTTTGTACGATATAATGTTCTTTTATAGAAATTGCAGTTTGAGAACTCATTTACTTATTCTGCATTCCTTACCCAAAATGTGAATCATGCTTGAATTACTGCTTCGATTTTCCACCGTTATTACTGTTTTTGTTTTCCTTTTTTTATTTCGAAGAGGCTGGAAGTTCTTGGAGGGAAGGATGGAATCTATAATTATTGTAGAAAACATGCATATATTGCATTACTTCCAACAAAACTCTTGTCCAAGAAGAGTGCCCCATGCTATTAATTGTTAGTGTTGATCAAGTTATGAGGAAATAGTCTATCTGGTTGGGAATTGTGATTTATGAATGTCTTGAATTTTTGATGTGCAAGTTAGATTGAATTTTGCTAAGCTAACTATGATTGAATTATTCACGCATTATTATTCCGTAGACTTGGTTAGCAGTGCCTTCTCAATAGCTGATGTACATGATCATTTGGTGTTGAGCTTCAACTTGTTTTTTGTTAAAATTTATTTTTTTCTTGTTTTAAATTAATTTTTTAAATATTTTTGAATTATTTTGATGTATTTATGTTAAAAATAAATTTTTAAAAAATAAAAATACTTTAAAAAGAAAGGTTTATCACCTGACATGTTCTTTTAAGAATTTTTCACTTCTATGTATTTTTATAAACTAATATTTTTTTGTTGTATGCCTTTTTGTCTCTCTTTAGATGAAAATGACCTACAACTACAAAGAGAAAAATTAATTTTGAATTTCCTAAAAAGCTAAAAATTTAACTTGAAAATATTAAAAAATATATATGAAAATCCTATAAAAACCTGTAAAACATGAAAAAAAAAATAAAGAAATTGTAAGCCAGAAAAAAAATAATAACATAAAATATATATAAAAAAATTGTCCATAAAACCTCAAAAAAAGATGTGAAGCATTTCACAATTAATTTACAAAAAATAAATTTTAAATCTAATAGATTTATATATTTTTTTTCTAAATCTATATGGCAACAAGATGAGTTTGCAACACATGATTTGTTACTAATGTTATCTTTATTTCTTTTACGAGTGTTTTCCTTTTCTTTTCTTTTTGAAAGATGCTTCATTTTGTACGTTTCTAGGTTTTTTAAATTTTCTAGTTTCAAAATTTTTTCACTCTGACAGGTTTTTCAAGTCTTATTAATTTTTAAAATATTTCTTTTTTATTTTTGAAATAAAAATTCATAAGGAGAGCAAGCGCAGAAAATCAAAGGCAAGAGCAAGCTTCTTTACAACTGTCTTATCCTCCACCATATTTACCAGAATCATGACTCTGAAATTAGCCAAGGCAATTTGGAATGTTTTGAAGAAAGTATATGATGGAAACAAAAGAGTCAAAGAGATGTTTAAGTGCTGAATTTAATTTGAAAATTCGAGATGAAAAGAATGAGAGATCCAGAAACAATAAAGGAGTACCCTAACGAACTTCTTTGTCTTGGCAACAAAGTAAGACTCCGATTTTTCTGATTCTAGAATAGTTTAGAAAACCCTAGTTACAATTCTGGGAATTTTGAGGCTACAATCTCTTCTTTGGTAAACTCAAAAGATTTGTTGGCAGAATTACTGAATGCACTGCAAGCACATAAACAAAGGGGGCTTACTAGACAAGGAGGATATGTGGAAGGTGCTTTTCTAACCAAAACACAGAACAACAACGAAGGAAAAAAGAAGAAAAAGAAGCAGTACACCTATACATAACAAGCTCAAAGGTTCCGTGAGCAGCAACAACAACAACACCACCACCACCACCACCGCCCAAGTCTTTCCACCTTGTCCCCACCGTAAGAAAACCAATCATCATCTACTGAAAAAGTGCTGGTGAAGGCCAGATGCAAGATGTCATAAGTGTGGTCAGTTCGCCATACGAAAAGTCTTAATAGAATCATCTCCAGTTATCCTTCCAGTGAGGGAGTTAACTATGACTTGCCTCATGTGGTACAAAGCGCACCTTCTTATCCTGATACACACTGCTTTCCTTTTCAAGAAAGAAAGAATGAGGGCATTCAGCATGTTCGAGGGGATATGTTTTCAAGTGTTCCGAAAGGGGAGTTCTGGATTTGAAGAGTGAAGCTTGTAATGATTGATGAGCATTGCACTTGTTAATGTATTGCAGGAGCTCCAAACTGTGCCAAAAAACTGCCATGAAGTGCTGCCTGACAATTGGAAAAGTTATCGACGTCCTCTAGGCATGTTGCTGTTGACCTCATCATCCTGATGCAAGTTTCAGCGAACATTGAAAGAACTGGAAGCGCAGCGTAGGGGATCTGGGTTTTCCTAGTTTGAAGTGGCTTGTTCAGCTTATGATATTTTGGGATTCATTGAATTCTACAAATTATACTATAATTTAAAAGGCATCGGAACAACTGTCCATGTATTGCGGACATAAATTCATTGTATTATAAAGTATTTGTATTGTAAACGATACTGTAGTATAATGAAAGATGTTATTTTTTTTTGTATTTAGTGAAAAATAGTATTGAACCTGATTAGATAATCAGATCTAATAACATTGAATCTACCTTGACTGTCAGATCAAAAAACATTAGGTCTGATTGTCCAACCATATTCAAAGAAATTGGGTTTGGGTCTGAATTTGAACCCTTGTCTAACAGGAGCCAAGAACGTTGGGCTCTGACTCTAGTAAGAACTATTATTAAACTCTATTTCAAATCCAAGACACCTAGTATATTTTTATATACTTTTCATATTTTTTATAGTTGAAAAAAAATATATATTAACCTGACAATATGATAGTAATCTACAATAGGCAATCGGCATCGTGCCCATACTTCAGCATTTTAGACAGGGTAGCAACTCAAGATTTGCCTATGCGTTCTGCTACATAATATTTGTCCACAAAATTAAAAACCAGCAAGTAGAGGTGCGTCCTAGGTGGGTACAAGATAGCTTTTTTCTGTATTAATGTAATTTGCGTGTAGATTACATAAAACTATGATTAAAAAAAAATAAATTCTTTCCATGGTTTTTCTAGCTTGATGCAACCACACCTAGGATCTCATTCCTTCCTTTCACCACCTCTTGAAACAGCTCATTAACTACAGAATCAAACATTTCTAGACCTTCCTTCAAAGCTAGGGAACTGTTCTGCAGTGAATCAATGCTTTTTCCCAACTTCTCTTTATTCAGAGCCACACCCTTCAGAATCTGAACTTTAAGATCCTCAACTGCACTCCCTACCATTTTAGTCTCAACTAAAACTGGCCTTGACTTATCATTGAAACCTCTTCTCTCCTCAAAAAAGCTGCAAACAAGCTTCCTCAGTGATGATGAGAATAACTTCAGTTGAGAGAAATCTCTATATGCCTCCTCGTCATTTTCTATTGGAGCTGGATAGAATATCGCAGAAAACAGGAGCGAACAGACAATATTCATCGTTCTTCTTACAGCATATGATGCATAAAATTCATCATCCTTGGCCTTTGTTTTCTGTCTGCCGGTCTTGTATAGATTCACAATTTTCCAGTTCTCAAAGCCATAAAGCTTCTGCCATTCTCTATCTAAATTCTCAATTTCAGTCATATTCATGGCCGAACCTGAATACCCTTCATCAGAAAATCTTCTAACTGCAACATCAACTTTTAAACGGTACATATCCATTGTAGAAATGGCTGATCTCAGCGCGTTACAAAAATCCAGGATGTTCAAAGACTCTTCCATGTACTCATCCAAATATTTTCCCCCATCCCAGAACATGGGTACCTCAGACTTCTGAAATATTTCAAGAAACTGAAAGTGCATCTTCTTGAGGAGATTTGTGGCTTCTAAAATCCATTGAAGAGACAAGGAGTTTTTGGCTAGTGAAGTTTCAAGGTTCTTGATATCTATAAGAAGAGAGGAAAAGGTATTCATTGCTTCATCAATGTGGATAGAAGACGACTTTTATCTGAGAAAAAATGGAGGAAAACATGTAAGAAACAGAACCCTTCTCGTCATTTGAAGGGAGTCTTAAAATAAAATTCGGTATACAAGTTTTAATCACTTCCGAAGGAAGATTTCGGACTTATGTGGTTGGCTTGCTTTTCAAACTGTTTTTCATGTTAAAATATATATAATATTTTTTTATTTTTTTAAAAATTAGTTGCCATGCCTTTCAAACTGTTTTTCATGTTAAAATACATATTAATAATATTTTTTTTATTTTTTAAAAATTATTTTTGATATTAATATATTAAAATAATTAAAAATATTAAAAATATATTAATTTGAAGTTATAAAAAAATAAAATAAAATAAATTTCTTTTAAAAATACTTTTAAAATATAAATACAAACATAACCTTTAACCTTTATAAATGAAATAACCAAAGAAATAAATGGAGAGATGGATATAACAGTGCAGAACTGTATTGTTCAGTAGGAAGCTGACATAATACAAAGGCTATGGAGGATTAAAACAGAATGAATTGTATCTTCATAGAAATCTATTTTACTCATTAATCAAATAACACAGACTTTTAATCCTTATTTTTTCTTTAAAAAAGAAGAAGAAGAAATTATTTTATTCATACGGCATCTACATTTAGCTACAGAAGGAAAAGGAATTAAATTTCCTAATATTTGCCTTAGATTCTCTAATGTTTGTAACTGATTCTCCATTGCTGCATCATCACCTTGAGTTGGAAAGTAGATTATAACCAAGCCCTTTCGGTGCAAATTTTTAGCTTGGCCATATAAACAATAAGGCACCTTTCTCTCAAGTGGAAAAGAATACGAGAGCCTGGCTGAAGTTCTTCACGAGAAAGCAATCTATATATGTCCCGATTTCACGAGAAAGCAACCTTGAGTTAAAGTGACATGTTTTGTTTTTTATTTATTTTAATGCTCAGATATTCTTAAAATAAAGATTTTATTCACCAATTTCATGTCCTTCCTCGAACAAGTTTTATGCACTGCCATCACACATCCGTACTTGTAAATTCATGAAAACATTCTTTTTTCGATTTTAACATAAGATGATAGGTAACATAAAGAACACACCAGCTTATCCTTTGAAACAACAGTTCCTTGCTTGCCCTAAATAAATATGACTTGAAATGCATGCTTGAGAATGGCATAGAGATTGTATTTTTTAAGGTGTTTTTTTTATTCAAGCTAATTTTATTTTATTTTTTTAATTTATATTTAATATCAGCACATTAAAATGATTTAAAAATATTAAAAATAATTTTAAATTTTTTTTTAAAATTTTTAAACAAACAGCGTTTTGGCCAAACACACCTGAAAAGGTAAACATGATCTATCTTGCAGCTTTACAACCCAAGTGGTTTGACAAGGTATTACCAATTGTTCTTTGGACTCAATTTGTTTCTTGCTACCATCACTAAGTTTTCTAAAACGTTTTGTTTCCCAGAATTGAACAACATAAACCAGAATTTGTGGAGGGCAAAGGTCTAATTAAGACAATACCTTCAAAGTTATCTAGGACTCATTGTGCCCGTTTAGAAACCAAACAGTCACATAAGAAAAACAATTATACAATCTAAAAATGACACTATATTAATCACCAATAAGTCATTTCCAACATGGAAATTTTGACTTCGAATCTTATATGCTATATTAGAAGACAAGAGTAGGAATTTGTGAGATGGAAAACATAATGTTCTCATTGACATATTCATTAAAATGGCGTCTTAGGCATGTGGTGCTCATCTAGTTACATGCCGTTTATAGGACAGTTGACCAGCAATTTGGTATGATATGGACACAGTTCTAAAATTCAGACCATTTTGCGTACCTGCAGCAGCATGCAAGAACAAGGATTGGAAGCCAACTTGACCTAGGTGATTAGAACTACTGAAAGTTCTTTTGAATTATGTAAAGAGTGTTTTTTACACTACAGATTTCAAGCATCAAAGGAAGAAAAGAAAGACATTCATAGGAATCATCAGAAAACAATATGCAGGCAGAGGATCTATAACAATATTCAAGGGAAGGGATGATGATATTGCTAAACGATCATAGAACTCCTTGAAGCAAGTTACTAATTTATACACCAACAATGTGAATGCTACCCGTCTTCATGTAAATCATTTAGCATTCAATGATCCATGGACGTGATCTGATGAGTAAATCATTTCTTGAAATCGTATCATTGAAATATACTGTGAGTGCAACGGAATTTATAACTCATTATTGATAGGTTTCGACATCTGTCATGTAGCGTGATACGAAATAATACTACCGCATGGATCGCTCCACCCATTTTGGTGCCAACAGGCCATATATAGCAAATTGGTATCATGCATGAAGACCAACATATGGGGCACATGTGAATTTGGTGATATAGAGAACAAAATGAATTAAATTTGGTAATCGAATATATTTTTCACATGTGAATTCAATATTTTATTTATCAATTAAATTTAAATTGAACATTATAATTATTACATTAGAGAATTGATTCTAAACCTTTTGTAAGAAAATGGGGTAGTATTTTTAATCTTCATTGAGCATGTTTTGGAATGGAACATATGGGAGACAAGAAAAATAATTGGAGAAATTTATAAGGTTTATAGCAGGGCACATCCATCATAAATAGTTTTATGCTTAGTTATACAACTTGATTTAAGGATCAAATTAGAACAAGATGTAAGAACCATATTCTTGATCCATTAGATTTAAATCCAAAATTTAGTTTAAATTCAACCCAACTAACCTTGGTATCTAAAGAAAAGGTTGCTAGAGAATTATTTTTCTCTTTTTTCTTCGTTTCTTTTCTCGACTATAACTTTCTCTTAAAATATCAAAGAAATCAGTTATAAACTTAAGTTTTGGTTCAAGGAAGGTTGGAAAAACAAGTATCTCCCTCTACTATTATTTTCCATTAAAACCTTGATTGTGGAAGGATTAAAGCAGATTTTAGGGTTTTTAGTTTGATTTGATGATGAAATAATTTAAGGGTTTTAATTGATGTTTTAAAGTGTTAGTCCTGCTTAAACTTGGTTTGAAGTGTTGTCCAGGTTATAGCTAATTTGAAGATTGGCAAATCAAAATTCTAGAAATCCTTATCAAATAGTCGATTGGTTAGGTTAAACTAGTTGATCTGCTGGTTGGTTGTTATTGGTTGGTCTAAACCAACCGACTGGTTGACATGTGATGGTGGTCAATTGGTTGGTCATTTTGGTAAGCTGATTAACCCGACAATAGAAATTTATTGGTTCTGTTAGGTTCAATTGGTTTAAGTTATATTTGGGATCAATTAGGTGAAATAGTTCGACTTTATATTTACATTATGGTCTCTAAGTTTAGAGTTTTCAATCTTTTATGATACATTACTTCGAGTTGTGTCTGAGTGTTTCTTGTATTTATTAGTGGTTTTGTTGATATTCCTCCTAATGATCTTTAGTTGTCTTTGGTTTTGTATTTTCTTTTTTTGTTTTTGTTTTTTAGACGAGTGAGATAATTTTTAATATGCATGTAATATTAATAAATATGTATGTTGAATATATGATGAGTACAATTAGTTAATTTCTTGAATATTTAAATATGTTACCTTATTTTCCTAGTACTTATTCATTTTTGAATTTGCAACCGTATTCCGTTGAACTAAATTATATTTAATATGATGTGTGCATTGCTTTGATAATTATAGGAGCATCTATTATATCTTGATATCGGTATATTTGTCAATAACTCCATGCCAACCAATAGAGAGTAACTTGTAAATTATTAATATCTAAGTTGTATATTAAATAGTATCCTTTCACTGTGTTGGTTGGACTCATTCCTCTTTTTTAATATTATTTCAGGTTTTTAATTTTTGATATCACGTAGGTGGATTTTGTTGAGTATTCCTGGTTTATTAGTTTTGTTTGGTATGTCTTATTTGTTCTGCAATGCTTTCTTTTTAGTTTTTTATTTGATGTCTTAGATGCTTCATTATTACATTATTTTAATTAAATTTAAATTTTAACAAATATAATAAGTATTATGGATTATTTCTTTTGCTTCATTTGATGATGATAATTTTTGAAGTGTTATTTGATTTTATTAGTTTTGAAGAATATAATCTTTTGAAAGATGATGAAATGCTGTGAAATTTTTATATAATTTATTTTATGATATATATGTTTTGAAACTTAGGATGTTCTTATAATACTGCTTTTGCGTTGCCGATTGTGAACTAAGAATTTAGGTCATGACACAAGGCTTGGGTTGTTAGTTGATAGGACCTACCCGGGCTGATCCAAAATTTATTTTTTAAATGATTAAAATGATATATTGTTTTGTTTAAAAATATTTTTTAAAAAAAAAATCAACTAGTTAAGAGTTAAGAGTTAGGTTTTAATAAAATTAATTATACCCTGAATCACATATTAACATGGGTTTTTTACCTAGCCTAACTAGATCACTCATTTTATTTTTTTTAATCTAGATTTATTCAAGATCCAAGTTGGCCTGCCAATCCAATCCAAGTTAGCTAGGGTCTTCCATGTCATATGCAGGAACGTGCAAGATTTCTAATAGAAATTAATGTATGCTACAACATTTCTTGATCTGAGGTGACAGGTTATTAATATGATTAATGTCTTCATGTGACTTGAACAAATTAATCAATGGATTAGTTAGATAACCCAAACTATAATTTCTTAAAAAAAACAGAAAAGATATTGTTTTTATAAAAAAAAATTAATTTGAAATAAAACAAACCTAAACTGAACCAAATTCCGGTTCATACATCTCAATTTATACCAGGATTTATAATTATGCATTAGTAATTATATTATTTCATTCTAATTGGAACTCGAGGTATATTAAATTCAAACCGCAAGGTCTATCAAGAATTTCAAAATGAAGATTTCCAACTCTTAGGATATGCATTAGTACGTATAAATGTCTTTTATATTCACCT